TAAGGAATAAGGATTCGGTCACATCCGAACCTCCACCGGACTTGCAGGAAAACTTGTCCATAGAGGAAAGACCGGTTTGGATTATAGACTAAAGGGTAAAAGTTGTTGGCCGGAAACAAGTCAAGATGGTTCAGGTTGTTTGGGATTGCGATGGGAAAGAGGAAACACTTGGGAACCGGAGTCAAGTATGAAGGAAATATTTTCTAAGTGGTTTGAGAAACAACAGAAACAGAAGAATAAAAAGCCGATGAAGAGCAGAGATTCAAGGACGAATCTCACCATAAGTGGGGGAAACTTGTAACAACCGTGTTCGGAAAACTTTGCCAAGTGGGAAGATTGGTTAAGGGAGTCATGAGTTATGTAGAGCAGAAATAGGGAAAATCTAGGGGGGTTAATTGAGGAAAGTCGGGAAAATGGGTTTAGCCGGAGAAAATTGGGATTAGCCGGGTGATTCCGAGCTAAGTTTAGCATTTGCCGAGTCAAATCCAATTTTTTCCAAGCTAAAATCAGCTGGCCGTGATTTTCAGAAAGTTTAGCTGAATATTCCGACAAGCCCAGTTTTTCGGAACTTTGTCGGATTTCAGACAAGGTTGGTCGGGAGCAGACAGCCTTCGTCGGCTTCGGGTGTACAATAAAGCGGTTATCAGGTAAGCATTTCGGGAAAAAATGTGGGAACGGTTATTGGTTTGGCCGAGTAAGCGATAGTGCGGGAACGGTTATTAGTCGGATAAAAGACGCGCGTAAACGGTTTTTAGCCGAGTGAGTGTGTGAAGTGGCGTGGGAACGGTTTCTGGTCGGTTTTCTGCGGAAAATCAAGTGAGCGCCTATATAATTAAGACTTTTGGCTCATTTTCTCTTCCTCGCACGACCAAAGAACTCAACAAAATTTAGAGAAACAGTTTTAAGAGAAGTTAGTCGAGAGGAATTCTGTCTAGCCGAGATATCAGATTCTAGCCGAGAGCGATTATGATTCTGTCGAGTATGATCCGGATTCAGCCGAGCGATCGTGGGAATGAGTCTGAGCGATCGAGATATCTGTCTTTACCGAATCTGTCCGAGAAAATCTAAGGTGAGTGCGTGACCGTTGCCTACTTTGGTCATATTCTTGCTTAGATTCTAGTCGGTTGCGTGTTATTTCTGTGCTTATCAAGACATATTCTGCTGGCTACCGTGATGATCAATCCACCTTATCGGCAATCTAGATCAGGCAAGGTGCTCGCGGCTGTGATGCTCGCCGAGGCTTGTCTGGTTATGGGAGGATCGGCCAGATAAGCGAGTATAGTCATACACAGATAGTTTTCTGTTTCTATTGAGTCCTGGGCTCGATCTTTGTTTGATGTGATTATGCTATGGCTCGGTGAGACGGGATGAGCGCTCTCACTAAGCAAATCTGTTGCTTATGCATTCTTTTGTAAATGCAGGTAAAGAGAATGTCTGATCAGTGCGTGCGGACTAAGGCTGTGAAAGAAAGAATGGTAGGATCTGGGTAGTTAAGGTCTAGTCGATGTAATAGCTTATATGTGAACAATCACTGTACTGGAACCTCGACTTTAATTCAAGCCACTTATGTACGACTGAGTCTTGTCTAAACGAACCAAATGCGAAAAAGTACAGAAAATGCTAAATAAAATCCGGACCGAAATTTGACAAGTGTTAGTTAAAAAATAAAATCCGGGTTAGAATGCTACAAGTCCAAATATATAATTTTTACGTATGATAATAACAAAAAAATAAAATAAATAATAGATTAGTTTGTATAAATGGTACGAAAATACTTAAGGGATGCGAGTAAAGTGTATATAGTGATGATATTCTCTGAAAAAAAATAACAAATAATATTGTTGAGTTAGTATATCTCTCCTACATTGCGTTTCATTCTATATATCTGATAACATTTTTATAATAAATTAAAAATAAAACAAACAATCTTAAGTCATCTAGCCTTCCATATTTGTACAGGGAGAGGTCTGTTTGAGAGCCTCCAAATGTCGATGTGGGAAAATCGCACCTTCAATAACAATTTTGTGGCTGGTTTGGACAAAGCCTGTATGCATCACTTTAGTATGTGTGTTAAGCTTTGAAAAGTTTTAGTACATGGTTGTGCAAGATTGGTAATCCATAAAGGAACCACAATTGGAGTTGATCGCGTTTGCCAACAAATACATAACTGAGTGTTCTCCAATCGGTTGATATTTGATGATTTTCATATACATAAGCTTATTAAATGAGCATAATTTAGAATCATGTCAACATTTTTACAATTTATGTTATACTATTATTTTATTTAATATATTTTTATAAAATCTACATTATAAGAAACATAAATTAAGTTTTTTATCTTAAAGTTTACCAAACTATAATCCAAATATACTACTATTACGTATTATATAATAAAAAATGATATATAAATAATAGTAAATGTTTATCTAAAATATACGAAAATACATACGAGGATGCTAGTAAAATGCATATATAGAAGAGCACTCTCTCCTAAGTGCGACTGATAAGGCGATTAGGTCATATCTAACCCTAGCTGCCGCCATCGGTGTGTCACACAGCCACCGGTGAGAAATTATGCCTTCCCTTCCTCCCCCCGATCTCTTTCTAGATTCGCCCCCTCTTTCCCATGCTCCTATCTTAGATAGTCTTCCATCCTCCCCTTCAACCCATGTTCCTTCAATTTCTGACACTCCCATGTAAGATCCTTTACCGGTGTCTTCCCTGAGAGAGCCTCCACCTCCGGTGCCCCAAGGACCCTCTTCGGAGGCTGTCCCCTCGTCTGATTCGTCTACCCCCCTCCAGACACCTACCGTCGAAATGGAACCTCTTCCTCTTTCCTCGGGACCTTTTAAACCAAACCCAGCTGCCCTTCCCCTCATCTTTACGCCTTTGGAGGAAGGCTTCAACAAGGCCTCAAACCTTTCGAACTCCTGCAGAATCTCGAATTCTAATATACATGTTTCTACTTCAGAGGCAGGGAGACCACGTGTTAAGATCCCTAATGCGGTTTTTGAGAGAGGAGCTCCTTCTTATGGCAAGATCCATGCAGTTCTAAACTTTCTATGGGGTAAGGATCGCAGGGTAACCATCCACAACTTAACCAAAAATGTGTTCCTTTTCTATATTTCGTCTACTTCTCTCCGTCGCAAGGTGTTGCTCCATGAACTGTGGAGAGTCGGTAATTCTCCTTTCTTCGTCACCAAATGGAAAGCGGAATTTAGTTTTAACCCTCCCACATTAGAGAGTGCTCCAGTTTGGGCGTCAATCAGGGACATCCCTTTTGACTTAGTGACCGAAGAAGGTCTGAGCTTCATTTGTCGCCCTTTGGGAAAAGTTGTTGATGTCAAGCCCTTCTCCTCCATAAAATCTGCTGAGGTGAAAGTTATTGTCGATTTCACTAAGCCGTTGTCGAAAGAGTTGGAGATTGAAAGGCAAAATGGAGGCATCGATCTCCTGAGGGGTTTCTATCCATGGCTTCTTCCTTTTTGCCTTGCTTGCAACGAATATGGTCATGGTCCTTCCCTTTGTCTTCGTGAATCTGAAAATCAGGTTAACTCCAAAGGCAAGAATAAAGCTAAAGTCTCCGAAGTTATCATTCCCCCAAATGATCCTCCCCCCTTTGTCTCCAATTCCATTCTCCCAGAGCCTCAGTCGACAGAAACTCAACCCATGGACCTATCGGAAAAGAACTCTTCTCCAGTCGTAGCGAAGGCTGATTTTACTCCGCATGTGGAAGCGGCATCATCTGATCAGACGTCAGAGGTTCCATTCTCCAAAGAGGTTAGTTATTCCTCTTTGTCTGCTGCTGAGAAGTCAGAGGTGGAAGCCCCTTTTATCCCTTCCAAAAAGCATCTTCCCCTCCGGGCTGTCCCCATTACAATCCCGACCCAGCATACTACCGTAAAGCAATTTGAGATTTTGGAAACTCAGGACAAGTCATCGGAGGATCCCCCTAAGACTGACACTCCTATTCAGGAAAGGAACGTCTCTAGGTCTTCCTCCTCTTCATCGAATAAAAATAAGAAAAAGAAGAGAAAGCGATATCTTCACCAATCCTCCAGCACTGGTGGTCTTCCTCTCCGTGGGGAGGAGCGTCACTCCCTCTAATCCATTTTTATGTCGGGTATAATTTTTTGGAACGTGTGTGGTTTGAATGACACTTCTAAGCATCAGCCTTTACGTAATTGGCTGTCGACGCGCTCAATATCTTTTGGATCAATTGTGGAAACGCACATTGAGGATAATAACATGAACCGTATTTTGTCCTGTATAGGTCCCGAGTGGACGACTATATCTAATTATCAGTACTCTCTGCTAGGAAAGATATGGATTATCTATAAAGCTCCTATCGTATCACTCTTTTGGCATCTGATCTTCAAACAATCACTTGCGAAATGGATATAGATGATGGAGTCACCTTCATTTTTACTGCTGTCAACGCCTCCAACGCTGAGGAGGAGAGAAGGCTTTTGTGGGACTCTCTCAGGAACACCGAGAGGAGTTTCAACTTATCCATTAAGCCATGGTTGATAGCTAGCGACTTCAATGAGATTCTGCATCCTGCAGAAACCTCTAGCACGAGCATCATCAGATCTTCTGCAGCAATGAGAAGATTTAGTGACTGCCTCAGTGATACTGGCCTCTTTGATTTACCGTTTCAGGGCCCCAAATTCACCTGGACAAACTCCTGCCCCCTCAAACCCTATTGGGAAGAAATTGGATAGGTGTTTGGTAAATGACATCTGGTTATCTCTGTTTCCCTCGAGCTTCTGCTCCTTTGAGGCCCCAGCTTTTTCGGACCATTCGCTTGGTCTCATCAAACTCGCATCAGAGGCCCCTCACTTTGGCACTCGTCCTTTCAAGGTCTTCAATTTCTTGATCCGGCATAATCTGTTCCTGCCTTGCCTTCATCGATATTGGTCGGAGTCTTCTAGTCCCGTGTCTTCCCTCAAGGACTTCTGCTTTAAACTCAAGGGCCTCAAACCCTCTCTAAAGTCGTTATGCAAACAACTTTCAGCAAAATTGAAAAGAGGGTTGCTGTGGCCTTCGACGTTCTTAATTCGGCCCAGCTTCTTGCTCTCAATGAATCTTCTCCCCCGAACCTGCTAGCTGAGAGAGCTGCTAGGGAATCATGGTTTTATCTCAGAATGGCGGAAGAGAGTTTCTTTAAGACCAAATCCAGAATCAGATGGATGAAGTCAGGGGATCATAATACTTCATTCTTCCAAAAAATTGCCACTGCTAGAGCTGCTTCTAATGCCATAAAATATCTTCTTAAGCAGGATAGATCTCGAACCGCCACTTTGGAAGAAGTCCATTCAAGAGCCTCCGAATACTTTTTTGATCTTTATGGAACTGTAAGAATTCTTATTGTCCTGGTTTACCGGTTTTCCTGAACATGCTTGGTCTTACCTCAGCCTCTGATTTTTATAAGTCGATGCTCGTTGCCTTGGTTCAGTCTGAGACCATCTTATCTGTCCTGAACTCTATGCCATCCACCAAAACGCCAGGGCCTGACGGTTTCACCTCTGAATTTCAAGGCCAGTTGGAATGTTTTGGTTCTTGATATGATTGCTTCCATTCATGATTTCTTCGTATCTGGGTTTATGCCATCGTGCCTCAGCTCGACCTCTCTTGTTCTGATCATGAAAAGACCCGGAGCAGAGGACTTGAAGGACTTTAGACCCATCTCTTGTCTCAATACAGTGTACAAGCTGATCACCCGAATTATGTCTGATCGCCTCAAACGTCTTCTCCCGCATCTCATATTTCCTAATTATGCAGCTTTCATCCGAGATAGACTCCTGATTGAGAATGTTCTTCTTGCCTCAGAGGTTTTCCAAGGCTATCACAAAACCTCTGCTTCTCCCCGGATTACCCTAAAGGTGGATATCTCCAAGGCTTTTGATTCGATCCGATGAGATTTCTTGCTCCTGACTCTAAAAGCTTATGACCTTCCGGATGAATTCATCAACTGGATTAAAGCTATTGTTTTTTTTCCCTCGTTATTGGTCAACATAAATGGTGTAACGTTGGGCTTTTTCAATGGTAGAACTGGTTTGAGACAGGGAGATCCGTTATCTCCTATTCTGTTTGTGATGATGATGAATGTTTTATCTGTCATGTTGGATAAGGCAGCTGACAACGGTCTCTTTGATTGGCATCTGGGCTGTTCAAGTCAAAGGCTTTTACACTTGTTATTTGCTAGATGGGTTGGAGAAATCTCTTGCTGGTGTTTTCTCAATTCTTAATCTGTTCGAGCAAATTTCAGTTCTGGGAGTAAATATTTTTAAGACTTCATTGTTTTGCTCTGGCTTAGATGATGCTCTTCTGGTCCGCATAAATCAGAGATTCCGTCTCCAGCCTGTAAGCCTCCCCATATGATACATTGGCCTCCCATTATGTTCCAAGAGACTCTTGGTTTTAGACTGTGACCTACTTTTATCCCAAATCAAGAGTAAGATTGGCAGTTGGGCCAACCGTTTCTTAAGCCTGGCGGGTCGCTTAACATTACTCGCTTCGGTCATATCCGGAATTATTGGTTTATGGACCTCTGCCTTTTTTCTTCCAAGGAAGGTGATTATGATTATTAACTCTCTCTGCTCGGGTTTCTTATGGAATGAAGTGGGAGATAAGCACATAGGTTCTCAGGTTTCTTGAAATAATGTCTGTTTCCCGAAAAAAGAAGGAGGGTTGGGTCTCAAGAATACTACCAGCTGGATGGAGACTTGTGGATTAAAGATCATTTTGATGTTGTATTTCCGCTCTGGCTCCATATGGATTGCTTGGATCCGCGCCAAATATCTCTCCCACTCATCCTTTTTGGCTCTAAATGAGAAGAACCGTATATACTCTTGGATGTTTAGGAAGCTTCTAAACTTCGGGAAAAAGCTGTTCAGTTTCTCAAAATTGAGATTGGAATTTTGCAAAATTTAGATTCTGCAATTTTGGGATTTCAAATACTAAAATTGATTTCAAAATTTAGGGATTGATTTCGAATTCATCGTTGAAATGACGGAAATAGGTTACAAAATTAATGAAAAGAGCAAAGTTGGTTTGGGAGCTTTGGATTTGAAAACAATATCAAAATTACACAAAAAAAACAAAATTTAAGCAAAATTTAAGTAAAATATAAACAAAATATAAGCAAAACATAATAAAAAAACTTAACATTATTTGATTTGTTTAGCATTTGTGTTATATACTCTAATTTCTAATTTGCCAGTATTGTAATAATAAAATTTATGATTCAAACAAATTATGATTAACAATACGACTATCCAATAATTACCACATCTATAATCCCCAAATATACGATTTTTACCTATGATATATTAAAAATGACATATAAAGAATAAAATAGTTTGTATAAATGGTACGAAAATACGTAAGGGATGCCAGTAAAATGCATATAGTGATGATGTTCCCTGAAAAAAATAACAAATAATATTGTTTAGTTAAGTATATCTCTCCTACATTTGCGTTTCATTCTATATATCAGATAACAGTTTTATAATAAATTAAAATAAAACAAACAATCATAAATCATCTAACCTTCCATATTTGTAGATAGAGATCTGTTTGAGAGCCTCCGAATGTCGACGTGGGGAAATCGCACCATCAATAACGATTTTGTGGCTGGTTTGGACAAAGCCTAGACATCTGAGATTATAACACTTAGTCATCCTGCGAGTAAAATGCATATGATGATGATGTTCCTGAAAAAACAACAAATACTATTATTTAATTAGTACTTGTTCTAACTTTTTTAAGTTTTAGTACATGATTGTGCATGATTGGTAATCTATAAAAGAACTACAACATGTAGTTGATTTTGTTTTGCCACCGGATGCACGACCAAGTGCTCTTCAACCGATCGATTTCTCACGATTTTGATTTAGGCCTATTAAATGATCATAATTAAGAATTTTTTCAAGATTGTTCCATTTATGTCCATTTTATTCTTATTTCATTTAACACATTTCTCTAAAATCTACGTTATAAGAAACATAAACTAAGTTTTTATTTAAATTTTACCACAGTTATAATTCAAATATATAATTTTTACGTATGATAATAACAAAAAATGACATATAAGTAAAAGTTTATATAAGAAATACCAAAGTACGAGGATGCCTGTAAATAATTTTTTAGCCATTTCTCACCTTGATTTTCAGTATTGTTGATTTAGATGAAAAAAATGGGACAAACAACAAAAATCAAAACGCAAAATGTAGATCAAGATGCCATCATGATCAAATGTTTGTATGACTCTTAGTAAGACAGTACGATCATGTGAAGGTTAAAAAATGAAGCTAAAACTAGTATAGTAAATTTAAAAATTAATACATTTGTTGTGGACATTAAATCTGATCTTAATAACATTAATTGAGTCTCAGTGATTTTCTGGGCATAAATACTTAGTACTTGTCCCGTATTCGTTACTTGTTCCATACTCGGCTTGATAAAACAATTACTTGTTGTTGTCAAGTCGAGTAACAAGTCAATAAATTTTATTAGTTGTAAGTACGGGTCAAGTATCAAGTATCGTTCTTATTTTTAATGCTTATTTTATTATTTATCTTATTATTTGATACTTGTTATTTATTAAAATAAATACTTGCTACTTGTTACTAAATACTTGTTACTTTATTTAATTTTAATAACAAAATATATACTAGATATTAAAGTCTAAAGATTAAGTCCAAAAACTATCAAAATTTTAAAAAACTCTATTTGTTACAAATTATATAGTGGTCTTAAAACTCAAAATCACATACACATGAATCTTTGATATTAAAGCCCAAAAATCTAAGTGTAACTTACCATTGTCGATCTATGATTTTTCTTAATATATATTTCAGATTAAGTATCAAGTATTTTAGATTCAAGTATCAAGTATTCAAATTTTTATAAATATTTGAAATAACGAGTATTTGTTATAACCGGATCAATAATTACTTGAACGACTCAAGCCAAATAACAAATCCATAAAATTTAGCAAGTGTCCCGTGCCCAGATCAGTGAAAACAGACAGCGACAATTACAAAGCAGCTAAGCTTATTTGTTTGATGGCCCATTAAATAGTTTGGGCTTCTGATATTCTTAATTTCATTTATATGTTTTACAGAATTCTAAGCGCCAAAAAACGAAAACAAATAAATAACAAGGAAAAAACACAAATTTTGTCATCGTCTTCAGACTCTTCAGTGTCTTCACTAGTTTGAAGTAGAATTTGAAGTAAGTTTCTCCTTCCTCTCTCTCTCTACGGGTTTCAGGTTTCAGAGGAAGATAAAAGATCAGTTGGTTTCACATTTAGAGTTTCTTCTTCTTAGAGTAAAAAAAGCGACTTTTTATTTTCTCTTCATTTTAGGGTTTTCTTTCCTTTCCCCGGAGAAGGAGCAAATGCTACCCATTACACAAGACTGTTACGTAGAAGTCTCTTATGAAAAGGATGAATTCAAAGGCGGTTGGTACAGAGCAATTCTTGAAGAAAGCCCAACGAAATCAGAAATGCTCCGAGTCCATTACACGACTCTGCTCACAGAAGACGGTTCGACTCCTCTGACCGAAATCGTTGATCAAAGCTTAATCCGACCTGTCCCGCCGGAGGATATGAGCCACGGCGGCGCTGTATTTGAGGAAGGATCGATGGTCGACGCTTATCACAAAGATGGTTGGTGGAGTTGTCTGGTTTTGAAAAGGAAAGAGGTGGATGATACATATCTTGTTTACTTCGATTCACCACCAGATATCATTCAGTTTGAGAAGAAGCAATTGAGGGCTCACCTTGACTGGACCGGTTCGAAATGGGTCCGACCAGAAAATACGGTACGAGGCTCTGATCAATCCTTATTTTGTGTTTGTATGTCAAAGTTTCAAACTTTTGGCTCTGAGGCTCTGAGGCTCTGAGGCTTTGATCAATCCTTATTTTGTGTTTGAATGCCAAAATTTTAAACTTTTGGTTCTGAGACACTGAGGCTCTGATCAATCCTTCCCTTATATTGTGTTTGCATCTCAAAGTTTCAAACTTTTGGTTCTGAGGCTCTGATCAATCCTTATTTTATGTTTGCATGTCAAAGTTTTAAACTTTTGGTTTTGTGGCTAGCTTATTTCGCTGTTATATGTTTTGACGCCCTTGAAAGGAATGGATCAAGTCTGATTTTAGTTCCGGGTCCATGGTGGAATTGAGACTGTATCTTGCTTGGCGTCCGGCGATGATCATTAAGGAGGATGAGAATGAGAAGAGATTCATTGTCAAGTACTTGAGTGACAGCGGCAGGGAATCAGAAATCAGAGCCGTTGGTTCGAGGAAAGTCAGGCCTTGGCAGCCTCTTTCTTCTGTTGGAGAGTATGAGTTGTTGGATCATGTAGAGGCGTTTAATGGCTCGGAATGGCGTCAAGGTGTGGTGAGGGGAGTTGTCTTTGAGGGAAGATACATGGTGAGTTTCGGTAAAGAAAAGGTGGCGTCTGCGCAGTTCAATTGCTCAGATCTTAGGCCTCTAATGGAGTGGAAAGATGGGATATGGCGGCTAAAGAGACCAAAGGTGATTATATAACATTGTTTCGGTTTGGTTTATTTGATGCTGAATCTTTGGGATTGCATTGAAGTGTAATGTTCTTTCTAATTTTCAGCCAAAGTCCAGAAAAGAAACTCCTTCAGGTGGTCAAAGAAACAAGCCTGTGGCTTTGGAAACTAGAGCTGTGCAGACAAAGGAACCGCTGTTTGCTCAAGGATCGAGTAATGAGATGGCCGATGATGTGTTAAATGGTGATACTCTCTGGTCAATACCCCGCAAGTGGATGCTCTGAACCCTTGTTCTTATGTGCCATGAAAATTCGATGATCTAAACTGATCTTTGTTTTCCAGCAAAGGAACCTGATTCACCTGTAACCTCGCGCATGGCTGCAACAGAGAACAAAACCCAAGAAAAGAGGAATCATAATTGCTTGGGAAATGAGTCTACTCGTGGAAAGGTATCGTTCTTAGTATCATCTTCATAATTGTTATTTATCCTTTTGGTTTAACACATTTATGCGCAGATTCCTGAGGATCATAACTTCAAATGTTACACTCTTAAGAGGAAAAGAAGAGAAGATGAACACAATTCAGACCTCGATGATACTGGTATGTCTTAACGCTCAGATCCATGAAACAAGTATCTAGCTTATACTGGTATATATGCTAAAGAAAATGTTTTCTATTTTCTTGTTTTGGGTCCAGTGCTATCCTCGGATCAAACCCCCACTGTGGTGAAGAATTCTGCTGCCAATGTTGAGGAAAACCAATCAATGGTTTTGCCTTTTGCAAAGAAGTCACCGGTTTGGAAGACATATGAGACAATGGAAGTCTTCAAAAGAGTACCACAAAGTCCTCATTTCAGCCCATTATTGGAGACTAGTGAAGATTTCCGTGAAGGGTCTGCGTTAGGCATGATGGCTACTTTTTCCGGGTTATTTGAGAAACTGAAAGATCTGGAAACAGACGTTCCCAAAAGCCAACTAGACAGCCTCAAAGTCTCCTTTACCAAGCTAGAGAAGCGTGGCTTTGATGTTACAAGGCCTTTATCACGGATAGACAAGCTGTTGGCTCTTAAAGATAGACAACTGAATATATTGGAGGAACGAAAAGGTTTCAATGAAGAGATGATGGTTGAATCTAGCAAAATGTGCAAGGCCGAGGAAGAGTTTAGTAAGACGGAACGCAAGATAGTTGAGGTGAAACACAAGATTCTCGAGCTGCAGAGGCAAGAAGCGGCTCTGAAAGAGCATAAGCAGGAGGCAAAAGAAGAGAAAGATGCAGCCTACAGAAACATATGTCAGATGGAGTCGTGTACAAGAGTTCTTGGTGTAGAGCTTGAAGATGTTGAGTTTGATTTTGAGACAATTTTGTCGGCTCCTTGGTGAGTTTAAGAAATAACCAAATCTATATATATGATGAGCTTTCTCTATCTTGACTCAAAGATTTGCCTGAGATCATTGTCCTTTTTTGTGGATTTCAGGTGAACACAAACAAACAAGAAGAAGCAAAAGCCCAAAGACTTGTGAACAAAGGAGTTTTGATTATGGAGAGAAAAAAGAAGGCTTAAGCTAACTATTTAGTAATTTAAAAGCATTGTGGGAATTGTATTTTGTTAATCTCAAGTTAGAGCAGAATGAGTCAAATCCATAAGAATTTTCTAGTAATTTAATTTAAGATTCAGTTCGTTACCAAAATGCCTGCTCTATTCTTGGAAACAAAATAAGAAAAAAGGCATGATTCACCAACATGACTGTTTTCTCTATAATAAAGTAAAATTTATCTTAATATCATAAACATTTTCAAGTTCAGTGGCAATCCCATAAAGATGAAAGAAAAAAAGAAATAAAAAAACAAGAAACATAATAATCTTTCCTAGACGAAAGGACGAAAAAAAAAAATTTGAAGACCCTTACATTTTTCCTTGCCTTTGCTTAAACGATATCAGTTCTTTTCAAAAAATTTATAACCTCTCCGAGCCATATAAACCCTTTGGTCGGTCCGATCCTTAGTCAAGTTTCACCGAAGAAAACAAGTAGTGCACGAACCAGAAGGAAGAGAGGAAACCAACAGTTCCTGTCGCGAGCATGATAGCCAAGACCATAAAGAGCGAGTAGCCGAGATAAAGAGTAGCCGAAACAGGTCCACTCAAGCTTTTGAGGTCAAAGACGAGATAATTAATGGAGTAAATGAAGATGTAGATCGCAACGGATCCTGATGCAAAGAAAGATTTCCACCACCATTTATAGTCTTCGACACACAAGTGCATGTACGTTAGCACTAAGGAAACCTCGGCACAAACCACCACAAGAAGGATCATGACAACTAATAGGAATCCAAAGACGTAGTAAACACGGCCCATCCAGATGCTTGACATGATGAAGAAAAGCTCGATGAAGAGTGTACCGAACGGAAGTGTTCCAGCGCCAAGAACCAGAAGCCATGATGGGTATTTCTGAGCTGGGATTTCTCGGGGAATCTGGTTGGTTCGAACTGGGAACTCAATGTGAGGAGCCTTGGCTCCAAAGTAACCACCGATAAGTGTGAGAGGAACCGATATGCAAAACCATAGGAGGATGAGGATGACAAATAGAGAGAAAGGAATGGCTCCAGTACTGTGGCTACCCCATAGAAGGAAGTTGAGCGTTGTGAGGATCAAAAACGCAATACCCGGGAAAAAGCAAGCAGCTTTCCATGCAACAGACATCCACCCACGGTGTTCCCCACAGCCAATCGTCCTGTAGAGACGAACAGCGACATAACCAGCTGCGATGCCAAGAATCATGTAGAAGAAGAGCATGCCCGTGATAAGCGTTCCACGTGAAGCCGGTGACATGAACCCTAGAGCAGCAAACAGGATAGTTACAACAGCCATGCCAAGAATCTGAACACCATCACCAACCATGACACATAAAAGCGAAGGGTTTGATGGAGCACGGAAAACATCACCCACAACAAGCTTCCACCCAGATAACTCTTCGTTCATCTGAGCTTGAGCCTCCTTGTCCAGCTCCTCATAACGTGTCAAATCCCGCCTAACAGTTCTCAAGAATATCACGAGGACAATACCAGCCAAGAAAGTGATTACCATAAGAGAGTTCAAGATTGAGAACCAATGAACCTTTGAACCTTCCATCTTCAGGTACGCATCCCATCTAGATGGCCACTTGATGTCACTCTCCTCGAAACTGACTTCATAAGAGAAGACAATGGACTGGCCTTCCTTGACAGACATTGACACGCTAGTAGAGTCACATTTGATAGGAGTCGTGTATCTTTCGTACATTTTCAACCTCTTCGTTGAGTCACCGTTATGAGCAAAGCTACAAGGAACCACCTCAAACCCAACAACCATATACCCAAGCTCATCATCAGAACCTTTCTTCCCAATCGTCGGAATCACCTCAGCTGCATCCCCAGTACCCATCACACGAGCCACATTAGCCGCCTCTTCGTATTTGTGAACAAGAACCTTAAACTTCAAGTGGTTGAACACATAGTAAACATCTTGTACCTTGATCCCAACTGGATACCCAGTCCACCTCAAAACATACCCATCTTTCTTAGTGTACCGAATCGCCGGTGAATTGTCAAGCATCGGATTCACCTGATACATCTCGTCGATCCTCTTCTTCAACAGCTTAAAGCTATCAGCAGAAAGCTTCTCAGTCTGACATAGAAGATCTCACTCTCGTTCTTGAACATCTTAAACCTATACGGCGAGTTCTCGATCCGATCTCCCAGGACAAGCTCACCTAACTTCTCCGCACTATCCTTGATTCCTTCAGAGGGTTTGCGAAAGGGCAAGCTATAGGAGCTAAGAGGTATTTCCGTTTCGATGGAAGTAAGAGAATTCACCTTCACGTTCAAGTAATCACCAATTTCATACTTGTGAGGATAACTACCTGGAAGGTAAAACCCAAAACCTGATTGAGTCACCGACTAAATCGCAAGCACCCAGATCCCGAATCGATCCATCGACCTCATATCTGGATAAATCAATTAAAAAAAAAAACCTTCGTCAGATCTGGATCAGTAAACAGAAGCTCAGATCTAGACCTAAGAGCTCTTAAATGAATGAGAAAATTAGGGTTCTGCAAAGCGGGAAAGAAGATCTGGACTCACCTATTCCGAGGAAGAAGAGTTCTTGCTGCGAAGAAAAAAAAAGAGAGGTTAATCTCAAGCTAGAGCAGATAAACGACGATTAAAAGGTGAGGCTAGAAGAAGTGATTATGCTGAACTAATTCCCAGAAGAAGAAGACGAAACCTGATCTCATAATCTCGGAATCAACTACACAGAATCTTACGATTTATTGATAAATCCAGCAGAAACTTACCCGGAATCTACAGCGATGCTGGGGAACGATGGAGAAGCCAGACGACGCGGCGGAGGAGGTGATGCCCAACGATGAACACGGCGAGAGATGATATGAGATGCGATGCGATGCGATGCGAGAGTTTGCTTAGCATTCAATTTCAATTGGTGATTTTAAGAAGGGAAGCATGTGTAAATACTAATTTCTATATCGAGACGTTATTTGAACACAATTACACTTACTTTATTGGTCAAAGCCGATTGGAGAAGTAAACCGGACCCAACCGGAGATTTACTGGGTTTTGTGGGTCAATTGAATTGCGTCCGGTTAACTTCTACAATCGGTTTGGTTTGTTTTTGAGCTGCAGTTTCGATATCTAAATTCTCCTCTTCGATCTCTAAAATCTGATTCTCCTCTTCGATCTCTCTACTCTCACGAGTCTCCAAGTCGTCTCCAAGGTATGCAAATGGCATAATCACGATTAGGGTTTCTGCATTGATTCAGTTGATGCTGTGTCCGATTTCTGGGCTGTGATTTCCCTTTTCTCCAAAAGTTACAATAGATTGTCTGATTTATGATTGGGTTTCTCAATTTCTGAATTTTTGTTGTTGTTGTTGTTGTTGTTGTTGTTGTTGTTGTGATTGACCAGAGCTTCGAACGGTATCTAAACTATCGAGCCTCCATTATTTTAAGCTTCGTTGACTGTTACGGTAAGCTTCTCCTCCATCTTCTCCCAGTTCTTTGTGTTTTGGTTGGCATTTGGTTCTGCAAATTGCTTATTTCCAGTATCTCGTTCCACTCTTTTAGCTTCAGCTTCTGGTTTTTGCTTATTTTAGTCAGCAACTATGATGTAGTATACAATACGGGTTGTTAACATTTGTATTAGATTAAGACTTCATAATGGAACCACTGTGTATGTACTTAGCGAGAAGAGGACAATATTTTGGTCTTCTTTGAAACAAAGGCATGAATATACTCCAAGTTATAACAAGTTGTATTCAGATATCTTTAGTTGTGGAAGAGGAGGAAATGAACTAGAACAAGTGGAAGCTGTTCCTGGTCATTTTGGTTTTGTTTGATTAGATGTTCGGATTTATGTTCAAAACTTTGTTTTGAAACTTCTTTTAGATAACTCCTAGCTGGATTAGGTTTCGGATATCATTTTTCAGAGTGTACACGGGTCTATAATTTCGGTGTCTAAAATTTCTTTTCATCTAACAGTAACTTCATATAGTTGTTGTAATTAAAGATATAAGAGCAGGTTGAGCTATCTCCTCTCAATGCATTGTCCATACTTGAAATGGTTAATATAATCTAGAATTGAGAAGATCCATTCAAGAACTTTTGAGTTTTGCCTATCAAGAAGATAGGGTAAAACTATTTAGTTTCTTTATACATGTGAGATTGATTGGGGTTTCCCATTGTGTTCTCTGTAAGTCGAAATTCTTGCATGTTTTGCAACAAATTGCATTATTCATCACTAAAGTGTACTTGCTGTTGCTACTGCTGTGGGAGGTTTTGTAACTCTTGATTTTACTTGCAGCCCTTTGCTTTGTGGCTATACAAAGATGACAACAATCGAAAAACTCAAAAAGCCCCCTGCTTCCAAAGGTTCTGTTGCTGCTGCTACTCTCAAGCAGCAATCATCATCGTTTAAAAGGTGGGGAAGAAGACATCCGTTTGTAAGATACGGACTTCCGATGATATCTCTCACAGTATTTGGAGCCCTCGGGCTCAGCCAACTCCTTCAAGGCAGGTCAGTTCTTTCTTGACCAAGCTAAGCTCTGAATCTATAGAAGCCAGAGGACATTACATATCAATGGATCTGTTTTAGAATCCTAAACTTCGTCACATGGTGGGTTGTTTGGTTAGTACAGTAAGGATATCGCAAAGGTAAAAGATGATCAGGAATGGGAGATTATAGAGACAAGAAAGGCGCTTTCGAGGACAGGACCTGTCGATGCTTATAAACCTAAAAACACATCCATCGAGGAGGAGCTCAAGGTTATTCTGTATATTTGGTTTACGTTGTTTAATGGTTAAGACCGGATAAAAGCTATGATGAAACACTAAAATCTTGACTGGGTTTTGCTTCACTGCAGGCTATGCAAGAGAAGGTGGATATAAACACGTATGAGTACAAGAAAATTCCAAAGTTAAACGAAAGCAAGTCGAGTTAAGTGAAGTCTTTTTAAGAATAACACATTATGTATCAGAATTTTCTTTTCTTAGATGTATTTCAGTTTTAACTTTTCTTAAATAACTCTTCAGATAAACGCCCAAAGTAGAATTTCTGTAAGTTTTGACCTTCCTAAACAAAGAACAGCTGCTGATAATAATACTCGTGTTGATTTACAACGTCTAAATAACTATAAGTTCTCTGCAAAGTGAATTTAATTATTATGCAAGAAAGATCAATTTCACATATTGTATACTTTTTATATGTGTCCCCGTTGGGTGGTTCCCAAAGAACAAAGCCGGGAAAAGGAAGGAAATCTGGCCAAATAACAAAGCCACAAGGTTTAAAAAAAAAATGTTTAGAGACATAATCTATAATATAACCAAAGAACCAGACTTGCTTGTGCCAAAGAACAGTCAATGATTTTCTAAGTTTCTAAGAATTTGAACTCTTATGTGATTCCCCTAAACTCTTTGCCCAAAGATATCATGAGAAACCTGAAAAGTTAGATAAGATATAAATTGTTCCGGATAATCGTTTTGTGCTCCTAAGAATGCGTATTTATTGTTCAAACGGAATCTTCGAGTCATACCAAAAGAGCAAATCTTACCACCTCCAATTTCACAAGACATTAATTGTTTTGCTAGGTGTCTCTGTATGAAAAGTTGTCTTCACACACTCAACTATGTTTAATTTGTTTTGTCAAGAAAGATATATTCCAAACTATTACAAATAACTGAATAAGTCTATCAATTAAAAATTTTAGGATACGAAAGATCGTAGAGTGATTTTATAAAGTAAAATGATTTTGTAAGAGTTTTTATATTTTAATAAAAATTTTTATTATTAGTATTATAATTATGTTCTGATCTAGGTTAAAAAATTCTGGGGCTGATCCAAAATGGCACTGAACTATGCTCAGAGCCAATCCTCAGAAAAGTAGTTTCCGATGAAGCTTTTGTGCATACATGATAAGCATATACCATAAGAAGATGAGCTGACAAGGCAAATACTCTTAGTTATCGGAAGGCTTTGCAGTTTGAGATACGACTAGTTAAATACCACTGTTGCTTTACTATTCCTCTTCAGACTTTGATTTGGTAACTGAGAAGTTAGATTTTCGAGTCTTGAAGCGATCTTTGATCGTGAGGGGAGTATGGCCCTGTTCGTTTATCTAGATTTGCATCTTGATTTAGCATTGAATGCTACATCTAGATACAACATCTAGATACAACATCTAGATATTATTTGTTTTGTAAGTTTACTTTGCATCTACATGTTACGTCTAGATACAAAATTGTTTATTTATAAATTTAGAAAAGAGACAATTTGCTATATAGACTATAACCCAGTCAAAATTTGCCAATAAGGAAAAACAGTGTTTTAGGTAAAAATTTTGAATTCCAAATTGTGGCAGATTACGAAAAGAACCCTCAAGCTAACTTTTTCTATTTTGATAATTGTATTTTTGATTTAATTTAAATGACGGAAGAAAATATAATATCGACCTCTATATAGGTTCCTATAGATAGCGTAGGTCTGTTTGTAGGCATTTGAAAACCACAAAATATAACAGCTCTGGAATTTTTCTCTCATCAATCTTCTTTATTTAACATATAAGTTATACAATTACATAACTTCTTATCAAACTACATACTTTGTTAGTGTGGTAAATTTATGTATTCTTGAAACAAAAATGATTTTTGTATTCTTTAACACCTCTGAGTTGCTATATTTGATTCGATTATTGATTATATTAACTCATTAACATATACATTATACAGTTATGTTAAACGTTATCAGTCTAAATAATTATATTCATGTGTATGCATCTACTTAACATATAAGTTATACAATTACATAATTTTTTTATCAAACTACATACTTTGTTAGCATAGTAAGTTTCTGCATAATTAAAAAAAAGAATTGTTACATTCTTTGACACTTATATATTTGGTTTGATAACTGATCAGTAAAACCTCTATAAATTAATATTCGATAAACTAATAATTACTATAAATTAATAAATTTTGCTGGTCCCAAATCGGGCCAATGTAAAAATCCATCAAATTCGATAAGATAATAAGATAATAATTTTTTTTGAAACCCTTATGTAAATTTATGATCCCAACAAAAACATAAATTAATAATGATATAAATTTATGCAAATATATATAAATACAATATTTTAAAATATAACTTATGTGTTTGTTTTTACTTAAAGTTGAAATCTCATTGGTTCTCATCTCTCTAATTATTATATCAGTAGCTTTTATTGCTCTTTTACTATATACATTCAACATTTATGATAATTTTGAGACGTGATAATTGAGTTTCTTACCTTTAAATGTTTTTAAATGTATTGTAGTGTTATCTTCAATTTTATCATCAGTAATATTGATAGCAGCCATGATTTTTTATAAATTTTAAACTTATGAACATGTATATTTTTATATGGACAATCCAATATGGTGTTAAAAACTATTTTATTGTGATAGTTATGATTCTTAATCAAAATTTATATCATGAGATTTGTTAAAATTTTAAAATATAACATTAATACAAAGAAATTTTTAGAAAATTATATGCAGAAAATAAAATTTCTCTATAAATTAATAATTATTAATTTATAGACAAATTAATATCACGATAAATTAATAAATTATCATGGTCCCAACATTATTAATTTATAGAGGCTTTACCTGTATATCAGATCCCGTTAACATATACGTTATAGAGATACATGAAACGTTAGCAGTATAAATAATTCTTTAGTGCGCTGCTTTTATCTGATATACGTTAACATAGAAGTTATACAATTACTTAACATATTATAAAGCTACATCATTTGTTAGTGTGTTTAATTTCAGTTGCTATAATTGGCTTATCGAGTATTAATTTAAATTTATATGTGTAATAATATAGTTAACATGTTAAGTGGAATATTAGAAATATATCAAAACATTTATATGGTATAGTAAATGAATTGTAATCATCTGTAAAATATATTAGCAATCTAACACTCAATTTAGAAACCTAATTCCAAATTCAAAAATAATTTAGAGTGAGTGCAGCTTTTGGATTCAAAGATAACCAGCTATATATTATCCAGCTATATATTATTTTGATATGTTAAAACATTTGTTAGATGGTATAAACATTTGTTGATAGTTAACTTTCAAATTAACATTTTTCCAACTTAACTCATCGAGATCTCCGTCTTCAACAATCTCTCTCTCAATCTCAGATCCATAATCTCCGTCTTCAACTTAACATTTTTTCTTCTTTTTATGAGTGACCTTCCCACATTCGAGACCAGTAACTAAGGCGAACTCCCGTAGTGAAAATCTGATCGGTCGACCAGCGAACAAGTACCACAACTCGTGCTTCTTCTTCACTCGCAATAGCCTAGCTAACATATAGAATCCAAAGCTACCGGAGAACGACGGTTGCTCTATTGTCGCAAGCAGTTTTCCCAATTGGAAATCCCGTAATCTCTGAACTTCGTCAGCATCAAGCACATTAAGAATCACATGAACAACTTTTGATTTCTGGTAAGTGTTAACTCTCTCTCCAATTGGCTGTTGGCCTGCGGCAAAAAAACTTTCTGGAAGCCTAATAATGGACATGAGGTCGAGATTCACTGAAAAGGAAGAAGACAGAATCAAAAAAATGGAACCCTGTGCAGATGTGAATTTCGAAATCGACAAAATAAGGAAATTAAAGAGAGAACTTACCAGATATGGGAGATAGTTAGTGGGAGGTTGCAGAATCGCAATGGAAAGTAGAAATCGTTCTTTGGATTTTTGTAATTTGAATAACCCGTCTAAGATATTATTTAACCTAAACGTTTAGTTGAAACAAGATATATTCGGTGTTGTAGTACAATATCGGCAATATTAACAAGACTGAGGCATATTACGCTATATTAAAAAAATGAAAAATAAAATATTATCTCCTCGTTTGCTTAAAAAATTAATAATTCTGACACACAATCTCTTCTAAGGTACGCATGATCTTCGCTAGTATGCTCGAGTAAGTAGGGGTAGTAATGTATTAAAAGAAATAGCACAGTGTTTGAATAGTAAACTTTCCTTGTTAGCAAATATTGAACAGTCCTAGGTATATATGGCACATTTTCTTTTTAGAAAAATAGTTGGATGCAAATATATATTAAATGACTAAAAATGATATACTTTTGAATAATTATTTTTTTATTTATAATCAATTTAGTTTTATAATGAACTAACCTAAAATTATTTTAAATTGATATTTTATCAAATTAATTTTTTCAAATACATAAAAAATAATTTTTCATTTTTTTGCAGATTTTGTAGATTTGCCAGGAGATTTTTTTTTATTTGCCTTTTGGCAGGAAATCAAAATTTTTTGTTTTTGACGAGAAATCAAAATTTTGCACGAAAACATCATTTCTCAGATTTAGCGGCAAAATCGGCGATTTTGCAGTTTTGGCAGAAAATAATTTTTTTGTTTTGTTGAGAAACCGAGATTTTGCGTTGTTGGCGGGAAAATGAAATTTAGCATTTTGGCGGAAAAACAAGATTTTGCATTTTTGACGAAAAAATAAGATTTTGTGTTTTTGATGGAAAAACGAGATGTTGTGTTTTTGGGGGAAGCCGAGATTTTACATTTTTTGCGGGAAAATGAGATTTTGACAAAAAATCGAAATTTTGCGTTTTGGTCTGGACATTGAAGTTTTTCATTTTTACGAAAAAATTGAGATTTTACAGATTTGGTGGAAAACGTGATTTTACGAATTTCACGGGAAAATGAAATTTTGTGGTTTTGGTCAAGAACCAATAATTATTAATATGATATATTGGAAGGTATTTTAATTTTTTGATTTTTGAGATGCTAGATTTGCATTCAGACTCTATATTTTTCAGCATGTTACCTATCTAAATTTTGAGATGTTGTTGATTTTGCATCTAGCAGCATCTAGATGCAGCATTCAGATGCAGCATCCAGATGATGATTCTAAAGTGTCCAAACGAACAATATTTGAGCATTTACATCCAGATGCAGCAAAATTACAATATCTCTTGTGTGAAGATCTGATATATCTCTTGAAATTGCAATCCGAAATTGTAGTACTCTTCAGCATTATCAATAAAGTGAGATTTACAAAGAAAGTTAAAGGTTGATTCAAGGAATTGCACAATTCAAATTTAACAGTACACCCAATTGTTAATAATATGTATGTGTCCTAAATCATCTTCCATTTATTTCAGTTTCCATGGAAATATTTTTTGTCATAAAATTATACCCATTTTCGTCTCAATAAATTATTCGGATAAGAATTTTGATATGAGTTAGTATAGTAGAAACTTTATAAATTAATACTCGATAAATTAATAGACACGATAAATTAATAATTTTTCATGGTCCCGAGTTGGGCTGGTTCAATATGATGTAATTCGATAAGATAATAAGATAATAATTTTAACAAAACTCCTATGTAAATATTTAGTCCCAATACTATTATAAATTAATAATTACCATAAACAAATCTGATATAAACATATAAGTGAAATAATCTAATAAAATATGAGTTTAGTGATGTTTATAATTTATTTTAAATGAAAGTTTTCTTGAAACTTATTTTAAAATTTAGAAAGATTTTTTAAATATTTTTATCTTTAAAAAAATCTCTTTTAAAATTAATAAGAAATAAACAGTTTTTATAAATTAATAACTCTATAAATTAATAAATTATCAAAATTATCAAAATTCTAACATCATTAATTTATAGAGTTTTTTAGTGTATAATCTCCCATCCAAGAGTTATAACAATTTAATATTTTATGTGAGATAACCTGAACTTCATGTTTCTTTTTCTTAAATTCAGTTTCTAATCAAAACCAAACTAAAACCAAGCCTATAAATAGTTCCAGTGTTAAAAAACTCGGCCTAGGTGGCCGCCTAGGCGACGTTTGGCGGATACAAACCGCCAGATTTTAACGTAATCAATAGTA